GCTATGTACATGTCCTCACTGGGGTTACCAGTGCAGACTTATCTAGGCTAAAATACCCTTGCCCTGAAAATTCTAGGGGGGAACCACCCCCTGTGCTACCGACCCCCCACTGGCAACTACAGCACTGGATCACGCCATCCCCCCACCTCAATAAATGGGGGAATGTATCCCCCCTTTGCTATCTACTCCCCTGGTTAGAAACAACATCTATGACAAATTTGTAAAATCAAAACAGGGCAATTTGCAATTTAAAACACCTACTGCGCCGTTAGATTACATAGATAGAATTGCAAAAACAAAAACGTTGGAAATGATACATCAAACTATTTTTGACAATTTTTTCCCTTTGTCATTCCCACCTACCAAAATGATCTTATTTTGGACCATTTTACATTTACCTATCCTATGATTTAGAATTTTAGATGCTACGAGACTAAATTTAACACATTGTGTTAGAGCATTACATTGTACTTCCATAATATACCATTCTAAAACATAGAAAAAAAAATTATCATTCAACCAAGTATGCATTGAAGTGACACCCTATCAGTTAGTTAACTTTTGGAATTTCTATAGCAATACGATGCAGTTGAAAACCAACTACATCGCATGTCATGACAATAACTAAGGAATCATAAATGTTGACACTATCATACTTCATACATGTACATGTAAATGTAATCATACATGTACATATTTGTGTATGTATTGTAAATGCGAGTGTGCACTGCTGGTACACTGCAGTAGTTGTAATAAAAGATTTGATTGTGAGATGGTGGCTTAAATCAAGTGAATAATCAGAAAAACGTTGCTTTTCGCAAGATTTGGGAAATAGAACAAAATGCTTCAGATCTGCTGTTTCCTGGCATGTTGGTCGGTTTTCCCACCCAGCATGCAGCCAAAGGGGTGGGGTCTTCAGTGCTCCCCCCCAAATTGGAACAACAGGGCCATTTGATAAATCTAGGACCCCATTTGATAAATGGATAGAATATACACTGCCACTGTGCAAAAAATCACAGTAGTGTGAAACTATCCGAGTTACTTATGGATAGGTATATTATACCCATCATTTAAGTGCATATTTCACAGTTATTAAAACTAAACTAAAACTCCATCCCAAAATGTTGAAACTATTAGTATTAAAATTTTCCAAAAATTACCAGCTTTCAAAACATGATAGTTTACATTTAAGTTTTAACTACCTCATAACAAAGCAAGGTTTAGCGTCATAAATTTTGACGTACATAGACTTTGCCATTTCAGTGCTTCCCCTGCATTCACACGAGCGAGGCGGGCCGCCTCGCTCAAATCTCAGCCGCCAAGCAGAAATTTATCCAAAAATCACTGTTCTTCCATCAATAAACTACACTTTATTGACAGCGTTCGAAATTAGTGCCGACCCGGAGGCCCGAGGCCACCAAGTTTTTGCTTCGGCCACCATCTCTACGAAACTGCCGGTCCTCCTGACCGGCACCTTTTCCCCTCATATTACGCTGAAATACTACGGTTATCGCAACGGCAGTTTAGACAGACTTGTAAACGGGAGCGCCTTCTAATACGCTCCGTTCCTGAACGTAGACGGGATATCTAAAGCCGAGGGCATGAACTCCCTCAACGCATGATTCGCCACACGAACAAAACCTCGTGACAGTCTAAGAAATCTATTGCGGCCTGTAGCATAGCCCAGTGTTTTTTATTTTTTTATGACCGCATAACAATAAGTTCATATGTTGCAGGGGTTATCGTGGGGAGTGAGGACACGACCAGTGACACCTGACACGCACGTAATAAAAGCTGTAAAACTGAATTCTGCACTTTTCTTTACGTAGAAAGTCGACCATTTTTATTCAGTTAGATATCTAGAAGCAATGTAAACTGTATATATACACTTCAAGATTCTAGGCACTTGTAACTTTGCGGATGTGCGGCAGCATTGATCTATGCATGGGGTTACCGAGGACTGGAGAGGAGAAAAACGAAAGTAAAACCTTTCCCAGTAAGCTTGTTTGTTCCTTTTGACAACTTGAAAAAGTGATTCAAGAGTCTCATATAATGTGTTCAGAATATGTGTTAGAAGAATATGTGTTAGCAGAATATGTGTTCAGAATAATGTGCACCAAATTGCACCATTTTTTTTTTAATTATCCGGGGGAGCATGCCCCCGGTCCCCCCTAGCATGCCAATCACTTTCAGTGCTCGCATTGCGCAACCACCAACAAAATTTTTACCGCCTCGCTAACCTTTTTGGCCAGGAAGAAACACTGCATTTTCCTTTCAGCATCAACTCATCTTCATAGCTAATTCACACTTTATTCCAAATTTATCAGAAACCCACTGGTCACAAAGTGAAGGCAGTAAAAATATAAAATAAACACAGCACCCATTGAGTAAACAAAACATACAGTCTATTACACTCTTATTGAACTTTTAGCATATATATATATATAAACATGTTTCTTATTCCCAATTCTCTCTGGGCAATGCCGGACACTTTTGTCAGGCTACTATAAAAGCTATTGTAGAGCAAGCCTCATATTTTGAAATTATAACAGAACGATTTTCACATACTACATTAAAACATTAGCACCTTTCATTAGATCTTAAGCTGGGTTTACACTGACAATTTTATGCAGGCAACTTGACGTTTTTGCTTCTTTCTAGCAACCTCTCCAGCCCTCGACACTAACGGTTGTCCGATTGCCCGGGACAAGTGAAAGTCTATGTCGGACAAGTTATTCTCTTGCCTAGTTGCCCGATCAGACAACTGAAAAGTTCTAGTTGTTTAATATTCTTAACATCCTCTGAGCAAGGGCGCTATCGCACCACATTCTCACTTCAAACGTTTTCAAAGGTCCCTGAAAAAAGCAGCCCGCGACACCCACTGTTACCATTACAGATTTATTCAGAGCGGCAATGCGTACCTCCCTGGCCGGGGCGGCATTGATTTATCTACTGGGGTGGGGGTACGATTGTATATAAGTCGGTTGAGGCATATTTATTACTGAATATGTAGGGGGTGGGCATCGCTGGGATGAGAGGACAACAGCAAAACTCTTTCCTGTGATTGAGGAAAAAGCTGTAATCGGTAATGACACACAATGAGCGTGCCATCATGCAAACATAAACGTGTAAATTTCATTACGATTTTACATGTACTGTATTTACTCGTGTATAAGTATAATTCATGTATATTATAAGTCTCACCCCATATTTTGCATTGAAAAGTTTGGTACAAACATTGGTACATTAACAAGATTTTTTAGCCTCGTCTATAAATCGCACCCCCTGATTTTTTTTATTGAAGTTGTGTACAAAAAGCGCGGTTTATACACAAGTAAATACGGTATATATACTGTAAGTGTAATACACACGCACGCACGCACGCACGCAAACGCGCACGCAGACACATGTATAGGTAGGTATGTGCGAGCCTATATGCATGCAGGGAGTACTGGCAAAAATATCAGGAGTGTATAATATATATCTACATCTATCTATATATGTTATATATGTATATATATCTATTTAAATATCTATTTATATAATATAGAACTCCATATTATACACTCCTGATAATATGATATGCACTGAACCAAAAGAGGTCATTAACTCAGTATATAGATTGCACAAGTAAATTTTGGACAAGTAAAATCAAAATTCGGACAAGTAAAAATTGCTTCTTGTTGCCCGACAGGACAACCAGATCTGAAAATAAGCGTCAAGGCCTGCTCTCTACATATATGTTCAAAGTTCTTACGTTATCGCCCGCGAAGCGGCAAACGTTTCAACACTTGACCCATAGCGTACGCGCGGGGCGATGCGGATACGCATTTTTGCATGTATTCCATGCCGCCAGCGTGGCGCCTAAAGCAAAAACGTGCTCTCCCCTAGGGTGGAGAGACACACCCCTGATTGCTGTTCTCTGATTAACCACTTGGCAAAAAAACGTCCAACTCGCCTACTCCGAGTCGGCGAAATTATAACATGTTCTAATTTCCCAACTCGCTGCTATTGATCGGTTGGACATCCGACTTTTGCATTTACACTGCTGATTGTCAGTTGCCAAATTGCCAAGTTCTTACAATTCGGCAACTCAAAATCGTCAGTGTAAACCTAACCCGACCAGGCTGTGTGACTAACGTCAATATACAACGTCAATAACGTCAATATTCTAACCCTAGTAATACCGTTTCTTGGAGCTAGTGTAAACCCAGCTTTAAGCTGGCCGATTCAGAACATATGTGCTATAGATGCCAACACTATCTTTTGGTAACATTAGTAATCTAATTGTAAGTCTCAAATGATTTCACAGATTGCTGCAATCGTGTAACTCATAGTGTAACTTGTACTGGCACTTCAAAACTAAAATACATGTCTTTGTATGGTAGGGCAAGGATTACGTCATATTATCAGTTAAATCTACACAGAATTACTTCACGAACTGCGGAAATGTAAAATTCCAACATTAGCGCCAATTAAACTGTTGTACTTGACAACACTTGACAACGCAGTTGTTATTACACAATAAAGCAGCCAGGCACTCACTTTCAATATGTATTTAAGAGCCTTGGCAGCAAAAATTTGTTAAAATAGAAGCCATATAAACATTACATGGTGCATGGTTAGATGAAACATAAAAACATTCCATGTTGCAACAGAACTGTGTTCCGTGCTGCTGCTAGTATTAGGCCTACCAACCACATATTTCATGTTTCAATGAAAATGACACCAAAGCACGGTGGCTGGTTTTCTGCCTTTGAGACACCATTTGACTTTTGAGCAGTCCCAGTACTAGTAGTAGTAGCACAAGTACTTAAGTAGTGAAGTACCCTGACAGACACGGCACTTACGACTGGACCGGCTGATGGTCTGACCTCGAACACACCTACCATTTTCGAAGAGGCAAAAGTTCCATGATCGACAATTAAATGAACTAAAACCTACAGACACAAAGTCTATTAATTGAACATCCGTGAGCTATCGTCATTTTCAACCTCTACCTGACTTGCCTGGCTGTTGAGGCTGCTCATCCCCACTCTCTCGGTCCGACATGATACCCTTCCTTGGTAGCAGTCTCAAGCCTCGTTTTCGATCTGCGAACAATTAACTGTTCTCGTGATTTCTCGTCTCGTCTGTTGTGAGATTTTTGCCAAAGCCACATCCATACTTACTTAGCATACGAATGAGTTTCTTGCCACGTTATCTTGAAATCGAATGCATGCTAACTCTCCCGTTTTTTACACGTAGACTCACTGATCCATGATCGTGGTAGTGCATTCAGCATCTAGTCCAAGAAATCTAGCATTTGAGCGTGAAAAAAAAGCAACAGAAATGATTTCACTGCAGTGCGTTTTAGTGAAGTCTCCAGAACAACATACTATTACTAAAAGTCCTAAGAAATCCTCCTACGCAAATTTGCATAATTTGCATAAATCCAAAATGGCCGCGAATTTTCATGATTTTGTAATATCTCTGCTATCCAAGCGCCACATATTTCAGTAATTTAAAGTTCTATTTTAATTATTATATTATTGGCATGGAGAATGCATTTACCTAGAATAAAAATGGATCACTCCCTATCAGACACGTGACCACTATTAAATCACTACCGGTTCATTACCCTGTTAGGTTAGAGGATGTGACGCCTCATCGGCCGACCAATCGGAGTGCTCGCAGCTAGTGCACTAAAGCTGACGCGACGTTTTGTGGCTGCATTATTTAGGCTGGCTATCGTGTGTGGCAATGACATACACATT